CTCGACCGAGTGACCGACCGCGTCGCTGTTGAATGGGCCTTCGGCTCCGCTCGCGAAACGACCGCTTCGTCGCCGGAAAACCGCTCGTAAACCGCTTCCACGCGCGCACCCGCGCCATTCTTCGCAGGGACCTGTGAACCCTCCTGGAATTTTACGACGCGGACAGTGGCGATTAACGTCGATCGCTCCGTAACGAATGACAGCGCAGAGCAGAACTTTGATACTGTGTCTTGCCTTTGACTCTTGTTTATCGTTATTAGCCATTTTCCCGTAGTCGAATCGTGAGTAGAGCAGATGATTCTTTGGATGGAGAGGTGGTTGTTGCTCTAGAATTCGTTGGAGATCTATTATTGTTTATTCCTGATCCATTAGGAGAGAAGGTGTTCCTTTGACAGGAGTAATGCTCGTTGTTCTGGGCTTCGTTGAAAATTTCTTATTTTCACGACATTATCGTTTCATTCCTGGTCCATTAGAAGGGAAGATGATCCTTTAGCTAGTATTGGACCGGGGAGATTAATTTCGCGAGACTCTTATGACAGCATGTTGCCTGAAGATCCTTTAGACGTCTCCTATCTCGTCCTTATCCTTCATTTCTGATCGTGAATTGGAAAAATAGCTTTCCAAGTGCAGAATTTAAGTATCATATCAGAGAAGGATGTTTCTGTCTAGGTGGTGGTCGATGGTGAGCAGAGATGAGGTTCAATTTGCGTTTGTTCAGTTTATATCGTCCCAGTTTTTATCGTCGAGTTGAATTGATAAAGTCGTATGTGCAGAGATTGTTAGGGATACTTGTTCAGTTTATATCGTCGAGTTGAATTGATAAAGTAGTACGTATAGAGACTGTTAGGGATACTTTTGAGACTCCATCAGCGTCACTGTTCGCGAAAGGTATTTTAACCCTTTCACTCCTGCAGGCGTCGTATGACGTCACGTTACAAGATGACTGCGGACGTGATACAACACGTCCATGGATTTCAGAGCTGTTAAAGCTTGGAAAATTCTTTTTGAGCGTTTATAATTAAATTTTTATTAGATATAAACAAAAATAAAATTTGTTAAATTAATTCGCAACAGGGCGTTTGCTACCCTCTTTATAACTTTCAGGAGTGAAAGGGCTAAGTGACAGGGCGAGGTACCTAGAGAATTTTCGAAGGGTGAGCTGCTACATCTGGGAGCATTTAAGTTTTCCAAAACACTTGGATTTTCGCTTATCCCGTTTCGTCGGTTCGAGTTAATAGGGTCCAAAGAGCGTCAAGATGATCGTCTGACATTCGCCGCGAAATCGTATCGTATTTCCACGAAAACGGTGGTCGATGAATCCGCTTCCTCCTCGCGCGGGACACGGTCTCCGCGGACAAGACACTCTCGCGTCCCGTTCACCGGACAACAAAGCTATTTATGCCACTTGCTCTGCGAATAGTCCGATTGGCCTGGCTCCAGACGGTATTTTTCACTTCCATCTAGAGGCCGCAGGGGCAAAAATTCACGAGCGTGGCGAAATGCGCGAAAATGTGCACTGGCACGGTGAAATCGCCGCGATGATTCAAACGGTGCTAATATTATGGTTGGCTACGGGCTGCGGAAAAACAGCGAGCGAATTCTGGTAAATTCTCGATCGAGTCTGCGTCGCGTGGTCTAACACCGTGATCCGTTGTTGATCTTTCGGGATGACGGCTCCATCCTCGATCGCGTGGCATCGAGCGAGTATTTTCGAGCGGTTTAAAAGTGGCCATCTCTGACGTTGTAATTGTTTCGCGTCTCGCGATTTATTTGCACGCGTTGGTTACACGCTGAGAATATCTACGTAGATTCCAAGTGCGTAGGTTATTAGCAAGATCTATGACAGCTGGTTCCAGTTTTATCCTATCACGTCTACTTTGACCGAATTCACTGAATTCCATTCACTCTTGGAATTGGAATTTAACACTGAACCTGTCATGGTCAAATGACCCATGAATGAGAAAGCAGTGGAATCTTGGAAAGAATGAAATAGTTCGAAACACTGCAAGATCGATTACGCGTATTTTGAAAGAAAAATTGCGAAAACGAGTGGGAAAATCAAGACGATAAGGTTCAACGAGGAATTTTAAATGACAGTTTTAAAAATGGTTATTTAAACATTGGTAGGTTTAGTATTAACCCTTTGCACTCGAGAGGTGACTCTCAGTCACCGTTTGTTGTAATGCTATAACTTAAATAATTGATGATAATTATATTAAGAACGTCGAAATCAAATTACTCTATTCGTTCGTTTCTCACGCAAATTCGCGATTTTCTTTTTTAAATTTTGGCATAAAGAGTATCGGCGAGCTTATAAGAATCTAAGAAGAGCTTCTAATTGCATCTTCGCAACGAAGAAATCTTCGAGTCCAAAGGGTTAAACAGACCTTGATCGTGAAAATAATAAAATAATATATATAATAGCGTGGCTAGTGTCACGTGTAGATAAACGCATGGGTCAGGAGGAAGAAAAGCTCGAATGCAGCATACCCTATAAATATTCAAAACCTCCCCTATCGAATCACACCGCAATCTGCATCTCGATCAACTTCCACTCCGATGACAGGAGAAACATCGTTGCAATTCGCATTCCAAGGTCTGTCTATCTCTTCTCAGCATCATTGACACGCTAAGATCTGTCATTACGCAACCATCCTTCGGTTCCGTTTCCTCCGAACGGTCCAGCGAGCAAGCACCGATCTAGGGATCTTCAAATCCTCCGTTAAAGAACTTTCTTGCACCCGGAAGCGAGAAGTGAAACATCGATCGAGTCCATTTTCAGCGATTCGATCGACTTGCAAGATGGCCGATCTCACGACGCAAATAAAGGCGAAGATTCGCGGCGATCGAAGAAGCGTGTGGCGCGCCGTTGCACGCCTAATGCCGCGCGGTGTCTAATAATGTAGCAAGGCCGTTCTTGCCGATGTACCGTGAATGCCCGTTCGTTACGACACGTCCCGTTGCTCGAAACTCGAGGAACGCCGACGGCCTAACGTCCTCGCGGCGCTGTAAATCAGCCCAGCGCAGCTGGCACGCGTTGCCCTTTATTACTAGCAGGCTGAGGAAATTGGAAAATTCTCAGGAACACGCCGACTCGAGTCACGCTGTGATACACGTCTGACGAGGAAGCACGCGGAAGAAGCTTGACGCGCGATCGTCTTCGCGTATTTTCGGTGCACCTTGTACTCAAACTAGGGAATATTCCGCAGAAAGGCTTCTCGTTCCACTGTAAATTTGAATATAAAAATATCGCGAAAATTTGGGTTCGAATTTCATCGATCCTCGGGCAATTTAGTATATGACCTTAACACTATACGTAACACGGTCAAATAACCGGTGAATGGAAAATAAGTGGAAGCTTCAAAAAATGGAATAAAAAATAGTAGATATCGAGAAAATGACTAGACGTATATTGGAAGGAAAATCGCGAAGACGAGTAATGAAGATGATAACGTTGATCGCGGAACTTTTAATGAAAGTTTGCTAAACTGGTGATTTATTGTTAAATTAAAATTCGAAGCTAGACCTCCATCATTGGAAGAAAAATCGCGAGGACGAATGATTAAAACGAGAACGTTGATCGCGGAATTTTTAATGAAAGTTTGTTAAACTGAGTGATTTGGACCATGGTAGGTTTAGTATTAAATTAAAATTTGAAGCTAGATATCCATCTTGGATAATAAAAATCCGATAATCCTGTCTTGCATAAATCATCGTTGAATCGCGAAGCTAAATTGTTTCCCAGTATTTTCTGCGAATGTTCTCACAGAGTTTCTAATATCTAAATAAAGGAAATCGAAGTTTTAGGGAATTACTGTACTCAAATGGTGCTGTTGAATTTGTCATTCATCACTTCGCAGTTCCGACTTCGTGGGTTAATTAATTCTCCGAAGATGAAGCCTCGCCGAAGCTTTCGAATGACCGATGGAAAACTTGGGAGGCAATTTCCACGATGAATTTCCACGTTTCCCAACGGCGAGCGAAGGAAGCCGCGATGACGAATTGATCTGGCGTCCATTCAACGGACCAAAGTGTCCGACATTTATCGCCATTGTTTGTTACGTTAACGCACCTCGCTAGAAAGTGCGGCATCTCGTAAACACCGACTAAACGATATAATACCGAGTGCCATTGTCGCTGGCAGTGAGGTAAACCTGCGAAACCGAGAGATCAGCATAACAGTGGTCCAGAAATACCGTTCAGCATCGTTGATACCTTTCTCCGAGCTCTTTTTCCTTGATTAATTACCAGCCACCATCCGTCGAATAGCGAAAATCACCATATCCAGCGCGATATTTGCATCTCGTCATTAACCGACGAACACATACGAACACGCCTTAATTTATCACCCCGAACGAAGATACATGGCTGCGAACGCCGGCCGTGGTGGCGTAAAATAATTATCAACGATCCATCAAACGGGGATAGGAAAAACCGTGGACAGCCGGGTGTCATCGATTTTATCATATTTTATCAATTACCAGCGTGATTCATTACCCCCGGCGATCGGGATCGCGTAGAAAAGAAGCTCCGCGAGGGCGCGCTGCCGCGACTTCCGTTCGCCGATCGATCGCAGCGCCGCTCGCGGCGGACCCGCGCCGCGCTATTTATCACGTTTGCCGGCCGTCTATTAACATTGACGAATTACTTTCGCGGCCTTCGAATATTTACCGAACGCATTACCGATCGGACGAACGCTGGAAAGCCGCGCGTCACGGGCGGAATATCAAACCAAAGCGACCGGAAGTGAGTCAGCGTTATGCGATATTACGCTACGCGATTATGATGTAACGCTGGTCGAAACTCGTTCCAGCTGTTTTTGCCGCGGCAAGCAATCGGGCCGGGACGTTTCTTCGCGCTTTAGAATTCTTTCTTCGACACTTCGCCTTCCCCGTTCGGTTTTCCATCGTTCACCAATTCCCCGCTCGACTTTCCGTGTGTTTTACGGGGTGCCTGGATTACTTAAGCGGCCGGGAAAAATAAAGAGAAAGCAGCGTTACCTTGCGTGGTTTTGCCGTGATCGCTGCCTCGAGCCGCGCGTCGTTGTCCGATCTGGAATAAGAAAAGAAACGGAATTTGTCAGGTTGCTCGTTCTGTTCGGCTGAAGGGAACCGGGTTAAGCCGTTTTCACGCGGCAGATTTCGCGGTGGTAGGAAATATCGATAGGGAAATTCTTATCGTTGAATTCGGATTAACGATAGTGTCGCCAGAAATTGTCGCTGAAGTGCGACAGATAGTCGGGGTAACTGCAAGCGTGAAAAGAGCTTTATGGAGTTTCTATAATGGGGAAAATTGACGCGAGGAATCAGACAATTTCGTTAATGCGATAAAAATGAATTCTTAATGGGATTCGCCGTGACAGGGTGCTTTATAACGCATTGTAACTCTCTTAAGCCTTTTCCACGCGAGTTATTACTGCGTCCGTAGTCGGCCATCTTTCCTGGACTCGAAGTAGAACAATTTCCTTTGCAGTCGCATCAACGATAATCAGAAATAGATTCAGAAATGACACGAATCCCCGTCGTGCAACTGGAAATATATTAGTAGGAAAACTGTCTTTATTAGTATGAAAAATTTCTAAAATTTATTTGACGTTCACTCCTGTCATTTTAATAGTCATCGTACATAGTCCCTTTTAAACGAAATGCAAATCGAATCGCACCGTGCTCGAGCTATAATTCAGCCCGATGAAATCGATCGAAAGAAACGCCTGGATCGTATCGACGATCTAATATGGCCATGTTCGCAGAATACTTTCACCGGATGCCACAATGGACGGAAAAATGACAATAGCGATCGTAGGAGCGCGAAATCGATTGGACACGGTTGTAGGCGGTCGACGACTCTTGTTTTGCGTTAACGAAACCGCTGATCGATTTGTAACGACGGATCGGTAAATACTAATTAGCGTACGCCTTCTTGTAAAACGACAATGGCTTTTTGCCACGGTTGCTTCACTTTCACGAGTCGGGTTACGGCAAGCGTGAACGACAAGCGAATGACAGTCTGCAAAAATCTATCTATAGTATTTGGAAAGTGGAGTTAGGCCTATTTTTCTCGGCAATGCGCTCATTTGCATTGCGTTCACACGTTGACTGTCGCTTGGGACCGGATTGGGAGATGGATTTAAATGTTTCAGTACTCAAACACGATATAAATTATTGATGATAATTAAAACAGTATAATGAATAGAAATACATACCATAAATTATTAGCATAATATCGGAATAAAAATTAGTATTAATTTTGTCAAAAGTACGTGCACACTCTCAGCAATTGCAAAAATAAATTGCAAAAGTTATTGGAATAAAAGTTACTGTTAATTTTGCCAAAAATAAGTGCATACTTTCAGCAGTTGCAAAAATAAATTGCAGAAGTTATTGGAATAAAAATTACTATCTATTTTGCTAAAAGTATGTGCACACTCTCAGCAATTGCAAAAATAAATTGCAAAAGTTATTGGAATAAAAATTACTGTTAATTTTGCTAAAAATAAATACATACTCTCAGTAATTGCAAAAATTGTTGGAACTATTTTAATATTGGAATAAAAATTAATATTAATTTTGTCAAAAGTAAATGCAAACTTTCAGCAATTGCAGAGATAAAAAAGGTTAAAACGAGAGATTTTGACCCCCGTGAGAATTTTAGTATTAAAATCGTCGATATAGGAAGAATAATTTTTATGTCACAATTAATTTGGCAATTTTATTTTAATTTTAGAGCAATGAAAATCTTCGTGCCTCCTGTGAATTGTGCAAATATTATAAAGTATTATAACATCGTGTAGATAGAAAAATTAGAAAAAGGCGAATCTTTATTATACTTGGTTTGGAAGGAGTCATGGTTCATATATATGCGGTTTAATTAATAGAAAAAGAAGGAAGTAAGTACGCAGCGACGCTGACCGTGAACTAACCGCGCCGCGCGTTACGCGCTATTACCGAAGTTCACGGGTCAAAGTTCGAACGACTATGCGTGAGTTTCGCGCATATGTCGGTCATGAATGTTTATATCGCGTGGCCACAGAACGATTGACCCCGTTGCAAAGGTTGTTTTTCAACATCGCTTTCCTGGATCAACGTGCATTTTCCTCGTGACTGGCCAATGACGCGAAAGCATCGATCATTTATCGTAATTTCTTCATGGTTCGATACTAATTCTTCGTTGTTTTTCTTCCGAGTAGTTTCATCCATAATTCCTCTTGCCTATCGGGTTACCAAAATATCCTTACACAAACGTCACAAGCTTGGAACCTCTTAAACCTACACCTTAACTACATTAATCCACTCGGCGAGGTTAGGTTAAGTTAGGTTACGAAACTATTTGCAAACTTTCGATTTCAAATTCCGCATTTGATGTTGTCACTTTGGTTACTCGACTATGTGCTTTGTATTTTAGTATAAGTATAGTCAATTTTTCAAGTTTGTTTAATATTCTTCTTCTATGCCCTTTTCAACCATCTGTCAATTTGACTAGCCAGGGTCAGTTTAGTGTCAAGAATCTCTCTCCTCATTTGATGTTGTCACTTTGGTTACTCGACCATGTGATTTGTGTTTTAGTATAGGTATAGTCAATTTTTCAAGTTTGTTTGATATTCTCCTTTTATGCCCTTTTCAACCCTCTGTCAATTCAAAGAATGATCTCTTTCCTCGTGAAAAATCAAAATTTCGCATTCTATATTATTCCTCTGGTCACTTGACTACGTGATTAATATTTCATTGCAATTCTTCATCTTTTTCCATTTCATCCATCTGTCAATTCGACTGGCCAGGGTCAATTTAGTGTCAAGAATATTCTTTCTCTTCATGAAAAATCAAAATTTCGCATTCTATATTATTGCTCTGATCACTTGGCTATGTAATTAATATTTCATTGCAATTCTGTTTAATATTCTTCATCTTTCCCCTCTTCATCCATGTGTCAATTCCACCAGTCATGATCAATTTAATGTCAAAAATGTTCATCGTCAGTAATACTGAGTCTTCTCTTCACGTGAAAACCACCTGAACCCTAACTCAATAGCTCCACCCTATAATATCCACTATTACACACCAGCCACCGAAGCATCGTGACCCAAGGATCCACCGATCCATCTCCAGGCGACGAAATCTCGCTAGATCAGTGACTCACGATCAGCCAGCCGGGCCGCGCGACCTGGTTCAATTTTTAAACCGGCTAGCAGCTCGTCCCATGGTGGGAGATGGAGGCGCGAAAAAATCGAGTGCAACGAGTGCGTGCATCGACGTGGTCGGATGCGATCGCACGCGGCCCAGCATCAGAAATAGCCGGCGCGGTAATAAAAGTTCTCGGAAGACGTGCGAACTCGTCGGCTGTCACCAATTATGGAGTTGTATGGGACTCGCTGGCGCGGCACCGAAATATTGGAAGTAATTGCCGGGATCGTGTTACGAGGAATCGCGACACACGCGTAGATCTTTGGTCCAATGACTGCTGGATGAGTTCATGATTGGATAGGGTGACATTCCCTAGGGTTAGAGAAGTTGGTGACAGAGAATAAAGATGGAAACCTCAAACTGGGACCCCTTTGACACCCCGCTGGGGTACACGCAGGAACTAGTCAGGGGTGTAATTTGAGAAAATAAATTGGTAAAATAGAAATTAATGAAATGAACCCTTTGCACTCGAGAGATGATCTTCAATCACCACCAAATAAAATTTCGATGATCGATATTAATTGATATATTAAATTCGGAATAAACTAATAGTGTAGGTATTGAAATTAAATAATTCTACTTTTGTGTTAATTATTGTACGAATTTTTATTTACTTTCTAAAAAATATCGTCAGCTTGGTAGCAGAAAATTCGCGAATTTCTACTCGTCTGTAGCGAAAACATCGTCGAGTGAAAAGGGTTAATGAAGAGATAGTAGTCTCGTCTCATGATAGACTCCATGAGTGATAACTATAGTTCAGCTGCGGGGTTCTTATCGATATTTTTTTTAAATTATTATTCGATCACTTTCGAGAACCATACGTGTGTCGATTTTACGTAAGAAGTTTATACAGGTATGTAACGTAAATAAGTTTACGCAACGTAAACGAGAATAACGCGTAATAACTTTAAGTACCGTGTAAAATCCACCTGTGCATTCGTGCAATGGAAGAAGAATGGGTAACAGGTTTGGATTACGAGGTCAGAGATGCAGGACTCTGAAAGATTGATATTTCTCGAATTTTTATAAACGGAGATGCGTGGAATTATCGGAAAGGAAGGATAGAATTTCTTCGGAATAATTTCGACAATGAGATATATCGAATTTGGAAAAGTCGGGTGCAAGAATGTCGATCCGGGATTAAGAAAGTTGCACGAAAATTTCGCCAAGTCTTCGAAGGAGAGGGGGGACGTACCCAGTGAAGTTGCCCCGAAGAGAAAAAGATCACGATGAATTGCTCCGAGGGAAAAGAGAAATTCGTCGCTGTTACACCAAAACGAAGAGAAACTCGGCGATAAATAAAAGCAAGGAAATCAAATTTCTTGAAATGGATCCAAGTGACGAAATAGAACACGAGATGCTTCTAATCGACTTCGAGAAGATGATTTTCAGGAATTGAGAGCTTCCGGAATCTCCGATGAAACTTCCCGAAAGAATCAAAGAATCTTCTGCAACTGATCCAAGAAACTGGAACACGAAAGATTCTTCATCAATCCCTCCTCTTTAGAAAAATTTTAGTTCACTCTGAAACTTTGAGATTTTTAAGAATTCCAAGTTTGAAGAAGGATTCGGAAAATTTAGTGAGAAAATACCAGGTGTTCCTATCTAATACAAATACGAAATTAATTTTTTAAACACTCAGAGATCTCCTCTGGGATCAGTTGAAAAGAGAGACGATTCGAGGAGCCATCTTGGTTCACAGTTCTGGAGTTAAACGTTCCTGGTTGAGTCGAAGTTTAACGATCATTCCCGCTTTTAATTACGAGATAACTGCCTGGTATACGTTGCAACTATCATTTACGTAGTGAAAGACGGTCGTGGATGTTAGATGAAATTGTTCGACGCACGATGACGTTCCACAAGCGGGAATTTGAA